CAGACATGTAGGTGGACAGTGACGGATGGTTGGATTAAAGTTAAGATGGGTAGATAAACGGATGGATCAAACAGATGATTAAGATGTATTTATGTGTTTATTGGTTAAATGATTAACAGAACAGATGGCGGTTGGATGTGAAATGACAGACAAGATTAGGTAAACCAGAAATACTTGCTGCATTAAGTGACTGTCATGACACAGAGCAGGACTGAAAGTTTTTGCCTGATTATTGTAAAAGCAGAGAGGATTCATTGGATCCACTCCAATGAGCCGGTAAAGACGTTCAACACAGGTTTGGCATGAGTGTCCAGCACATTGATTGACTGTCACTCTAAGACTGCAGGACAAAGCAGAAAACCAGAACAGCTTCAGTCCAGAGGATGCTCTCAGGCAGCACATGGGTCATCCAGACAGTATTTCAGCCTGGCTTTCAAACCGAAGCAAGTAAAATTCAACACGTCCATAAACACAGTTAAAAATTCCTTCCCGACAGTAACTTCTCCATGTCAAAGCGGAGCTATGTCAATGGGCCTGTAAAATGTTTGTTGACTACGTGTAATGTGTATTTACTATTTTACGTGAGGGAAAGAAGAGCAAAGGACTCTGTCCATATGTGTACAGTATGTGAAACCTGCCATTTATAGCACACAGGGAAGGTGGGAGGAGCTCTCCAAAGGTAACAACAGCAATTTAATCACCTAGAGACAATACTGTCTGGATCAACAGACACCTTTCACTGGAGGCATCTTGACAGGCTGTCAAGGATACTTGTGTGTTTGTGTGAGTTTTTGAAAAATCTGTTTCACAGCTTTGGAAACTGGGACTGTGTTAAACAATGGGTCTCAAAAAAACAGAGAGAACACGAATAAAGGACAACCGCAAATGAAAGAAAGACAAACAGCTGTCGAAAGAACTTGTACTGGGAATACATAGAGAAAGAGAGCGGCAGTAGAAGAAGACTTGATCAGTCTGTGCACATTTTCCCCAACCTCTCCAGAGAGCCATTAAGCCTCAGACAAAAGCCTGACTGTTTCACCAGGTTTCAACTCAGGACAAATCTCTTTGGAACAAACCAACAAGCCCGAGGACGAGAAGAAAGACGGCAATGCCTTTATGTGCGGTTGCAAAACTTGGGGACGTTCCTCTTCCCTCCTCGCCTCCTTCCCCACGCAGCAGCTTGCAGACAGAACATGGAAACTAAAATGAATAAAAACGAACCTGAAAGCAATTATCGTCTGCGAGCAGAGCTCATATCTTCACGATTCTGCCCACCTCCTGCTGCCACACAAACCACAAGGAGACCTCGATAAGGAACCTTGCTTCATCAGAACCATGGAGGCTCCGTTTCCCCTCAGCGAGGCTGTCAGATGAAAACCTAACCCCACTGAAAAGGCATTAATAAAGCCGCCTTAAATCTAAACACAGATCAGTTTTTTGAAATAACAAGTGTGCTTGCAGTAACTTTCATGTGTCCAGGGGTCATTTTCAGTCAGTGAAGGTAAATGAAAAAAAATCTCTCCATAACTGGAGGTTTGATGTTGCCATGAAAGCAGTCACGCTATGCAATCTGAATAGTCTTTATAAGCCACCCACTCAGGGTTGTGGGTCTCTCTCTCTCTCTCTCTGTCCTTCTCTGTTTGCCTCTTTCTCTCTCTATCATTTTGCACGGCTGAAGGCCCACATCTGTAGCTCATTTTGCGAGGGGCTTCTGTGTATTCCCTGAGCCAGCACAGTAGCATTAAAGGTAAATCTACTAGAGCAACAGCCCAGCGCGAATATCCATCAACCCAGCACACAGTTATTATAAATATTTATGTTATTATCACAGAGGAAAAATTAGTGCTGGCAGCTTTCTCGACAGGCAATCTAGGATTATCTACGATACAATGCGGATATGAACTTGATATACAAGTCATAAATAATAATTCTAATAGACTTTTACGAATACTAAAAGCTGCCACAGCAGCTCCAGTGGGGAAATAATCACGATGATTTATATTAATGGAATATTCTATTAAATATTCACATTTTTGCTGATTCAGATGTTTAGTATAATGGCATATTAAATTCAAACTAACTTTGTAATATTTTATCTGTATTTGTTTTATATTTGCACACACATGCAAAATATTTTTTCTCAAGACATTTTCATTATATTTTATTGCAACACGTTTTCAGTATGCACACTAAGCACAGAACGCTCACACAGCTTTTTTAAGTTATGTCAAACCCCATCATCAGCAAAATTTCAAAACTGTTTTTTTTTAAATAAACAAAGCGCCACCATGCATGCAAAACAAAACTATCACAAAAACAGCTTCAGTCCTGTGATGCTTGAAATTCTGGGTGTCAAGTTAACCTTTAGACTCGTGTAACTGACAGCAGAGTCAGGGTGCAAGGCTGCAAACCATCCTGCCTTGTAAACCGTCCAATAATTTTAAAAAGACAAGAGACGGGGGATTAAAATGAGAGATTTTTAGAGAAGATGACTAAAGGAGTTGACAGAGATGGGAGCAAAAGACGCTGAGAAATGAGCGATTATCGGAGCACAGCAGAATCAACAAATATGAATTGACTGTCATCAGAATCATCATTTAGACTTCTTCATGTTTACAGATGTAGAATAAATGATCTTAAAGAGCGATGAGCCAAACTTACTAATAAACCTTCTAAAATTGTCCCCCGCTTACAGGTCAATTGAACTAATGATGGCAATTCATTTAATCCTAAAAAAAAAAATAAAAAAGGCACTTAGAAATTAAGTTAAAAACTCCCATGAAAAATGAGAAACAACAAAATTGCCTTACCCTTGCGGGTTTTCTTTAACTTTCTCCTCCACTACCTTCTTTCTTTCTCCCTTTGCTCTGTAGGGCTGGGCGTCAGTCACCAAGCTTCTCCCTCTGCCACCTGCTGACAGGCCAGGGACTATGATTCAAAGATCTCTGCGCTGCCAGTGACTTTTGCGCTCTCCCTCCCTCTTCAACGGTTAAAATCTCCCCCAAATGCCTGTAGGCCAATGGGCAGTAAGTTTGGGAGTGTCTCCTCTCCTCTACTCCTTAAGTGATTGAGTGAAAAGGCAGGAGGACCAGAAGAGGAGGAGGAGAGATAATGAGGAGCAATTACTTTTTTTTTTTTCTCCCCCTCTCTTCTGGAGGTAATCATGCTTCACCCAAACACACTTCTCACCTTGATTCTCCATTATCTCAACACTTCCTTCACTTTTTAATAATTTTTTCCCCTCCTCCTCCTCTTCCTCCCGTTGTGTGTTTAGTTACAGTAGCAGAGGGGGCTGAAATAAATCTCTTTAGCAGAGGGTAGTAGGGTCTTAAACACGGTAACTGGATAAAGGTTGGGCTGAAAGGGGCAAGACTGAAGCCAAGAAAAACCCCAGAGTAGGGTTGGGATACAAGGATACAAGGTACCACTGGGTAGAAGTCATATCTGACAAAAATGCACACAAGAAAACACAAGAAAGACTTAGTGGAAAGTCAAAATAGCATCAATAATGCAGCAGCTGTGTTTGAGATGCAGACCAAAAAAGAAAAAAGGAGCACCAGGGTTGTTTCCAGGAATAAAACTGTTTGTGGTAATAGTTCTTGAAAATGGTGATAATTATCACTTTGGAACATTTATTGTCGGCCGCGTGACTGGCACTTACAAACCAAAGAGTCTTGACTTAATTTGACATTTACGTTCGATTCTCTGCGAAATGTTTCTCACATTGTTTTTGTGAGACGGGGCCGCCGCTAAGCACGCTGTGAAGCCGAAACTCCTTCAAGCCGACAGAAAAACCACAAACTTCAAAAAACCTACCCCCTCAGACTGTGATCACTTTAAAGCCTACAAAGAAACAATATTCCCTTTCAGATGGTTTCTGTTATGCGAGCATATAGGACACAATGTGAAAGCTTTCAGCGTCGGCTTAAGTGGATGCACACAAACCTGGACAGAAAGCAAACATCTACCGCCACGACCATCGCTGACGGCCTCAGGTGTCAAGGTTGGCAGTAGCTTACTCTGACAGCCGCTGTTTGTTTCTAAAAATATAAGTAGTGCTTCGAATTTCTGTGGGAACACAGCGGACGTAGGGATTGTTGAAGTGAAACTGGAGCTGATGCTGGGGGGGGTCCGCTGTGGTTGTTTGTACAGAACAAATGCTGCTCTGTCTTTTAATTGCACCCCTGGATATGTTGAACGACTATCACTTGTTGATCCATTGGTCTTCTTACCCAATATCTGATGGGATGCTCTGTACCACATCATGGCACTTTAGCAGAGAAGGAGCCAATTAGCGATATATGAAAAACACTGACAGCGTCTCATTAAAACTGAGAGGCAGTGAACCTGAACTTAGAATTTAAGTGCCACAAATCTAAATGGTTTTTCCTAAAGAAATGCAATCAATGTTCTTGCTTCCCTTTCTTCAAAGGCAGCCCTCTGTCATATATTTTAAACTCTCGCTGATCCAGTTTTGGCCCCTGGGGGCAAGGCCATCATCACATCATTAACATATATTCACCTATGCTAACAACATGGCAAACAAATTAGCATAATATTGCTAATTTACGTATCCAGTAGTCAGGGAGCAACATTAGAATTCATTTGGAGTTTTTGGCCACATGATGAATGTAAGTTCAATATTTCATCTCCGTCTAGATTGGTGCGATGACCTTGCCAGAGAAGAGGGAAGTAACATTAAAAACAACCTCATGGTCAAGGTTGGCCCAAAGTTGGAAGTATTTCAATTAATAAAACCTTCTTGAAATAAGATAAATCAACACGGATAAAGGAAGGGCTATGGATGCTACTAAAAATAAAAGAAAGAAAATGTCTATGAATGAAAGGAGGATTTCTAAATGAAGAGTTCATTTGCAAAAACTCGATTTTTGTAGATTTTCAGAAAACTTTTGTTGTTGTTGTTGTTGTTTGCTTGAAATAATATCAATCAAACTGAAGTTGAGTAGATTTGACTCAGCTGAAATGACAAATGACAAAAACAGAGACAACTTAAGTTTGATTGATATTGTCTCAAGTAGACGAAGGAAAAGCGGGTCTTCTGAAGGTTTGTGAAGATGGAGTTATCCGTTTTTGCAAATGAACTCTTCAAATACAAATTGTACAACCACTTACGTCTTCTGTTTTACAATAAAAGTACTCAACATTTGAATCCTGTGCTATCTCACCCGCACTCATTACCAAAACCAAAACTACAGGAGGTTGTAGTAGTCCTAAACCGAGTGTCTAAAGATTTTCCGTAGACTGCAAATCGTGCTTAACAACATGTGCCTGACAAAACACCTTAACCTGGTTCATCCTCCATTTACAACGAGTGTCTCATGCAAGTAACTGAACAACACACATGTCTGTGAGCAAAGTTCCAGAGATGAGAACAAAATCAGTAGCAGTTTTTCCAAGCGTTCTATCGGGTGCTGTGATGATTGATTTGATTGGAGAGCAGTGCTGAGGTTCTGGTCCAGTCAGTAAGAGGACAGAGGAGGAGCAGACAGGTACTGATGTGGACAGGAGTTGCACAAGCTAATAGTTTAAGCCAAAATGTGGTTAATAACACAAAAGACAAGGCTGTAATGATTGGTTTTGGTCTCAAACAGTGAAGATGCAGGCTTTGGAACAATGAGCTGAAAGACGCCGAGTTCAACAAATAAATTAGTTAGTATGGTAAATCTCTGCAGGTCTGTCATAATAACCAACATTTTATCCATCCATTATCTATACACCGCTT